AACATATATAAAGGTAAGGATTCATGGTTTAGGGCATTTTCTCAGCCTCCATCACATTTAAAACTCCTTGAGAGAAAACCTAGCCCTCATCTTCATGATTTGTGCTCCTTCTCTCTCCTTGAACCTCTTTTGGGTGCTTTTGGTGGTGATTTGATGAAGCTTGAAGATTAAGATAGTTATTTTGATTGGAATGAAGGTTGTTTCAAGTTTGGATCTATCAAAGTCACTCCATACTATTATGAGTATAAAGTTCATATCTCGCTCTTTAGTTCTTTAGATCTTGTTATTTGTGATTTTTGGCACTTTTGGTCCATTTTATGGGTGATTTTGGATTTGAGTGAACTCCAGCATCTTTTGATCAGTTTGGAATGCTTCTTGGACCTCATAAACTAGGAAAATTTATGATCTTTTGCCTTTCCTTTAATCCATGCAAGTTATCTTGTTCCTTTAGGTAATTTTGGTTTATTAAGATTTCTTGAAAGTTCGTGGCATCATTATGGATAAAGTTGGAAGTTTTATCCATCTAAACATTATGTTGATTTAGATATGAAGGTTGGAGACTTGGACTTAGTGGATTAAGTTGAGAAGGATGCATTATTGGTCCCTTTGAGACCTAAAGTTTAGATCTTGGTTGTTTGGACCATTCTAATGGATAACATTGGAAACTTTATCCATTATGAAGTTATTAAGTACCCGATCTTAAAAGTTGGAAGCTTGGGTTTAAAGGTTAACTGCGTAACCCATTAAGTTGTTGGGACAAGTTCTCACGATGTGGCATGTTATTCGCCACGACGTGGTCTATGGGTGTCCACAACTTGGAGGTCATTTGGGGCTGACTTTGACCGTTGACTGTTGACTTTTTGACCAGTTTGACTTTTGGTCAAACTTGGAGAGGTTTTGAGCTATAGTCTGAGGTTTAGGTTGTGATCGGTTTAGGAGGTTCTTGTAGTTGATTTTGTGGGACTTTGAGTAGTGGATTTCAGCTCTTTGTTCAGGCGAGTCTTCTCACTGTATTCCCTATATATTAGTGTGTGGATGCCAGACCAGCTGGGTCTTATTTGCTGATTGTTGTTATATGTGTATCCGAGTTGTTGATAACCTATAGCTAATTATTATGTTGTGTTTTATGTGATGTTTTGGGGAACTCACAAAGCTTTGTGCTTACAATTGTTGATTAAATATTTTCAGGTCCATTTTATGATTCGATATTACGTATTGTCTTCCTTATAACTTTGATTTTGAATTATGGTTTATGTAATTGGTTTGACTTGAATGTAACTTTATAAAAATGGGTGTTTTTTCTATTTTAAAAATGAAAATTTTATTCAAGAATTTGGGACGTTACGAACATCAATGTTATCAAGCATATTAACAGATGTTCTGATTCAGATGCAATAGTCAATAATTGTTGAATCACCAACAATATTATTACGAAGCTCATTGTCAAACTGAATGACTTTCACATATTTCTTGTTATGAAAAATAGTCTCGAGATTCTTCCAAACCTTTTAAGCAGTCATGTTTTTCTTCAGAATCGTCTAAATTAGTGACTTGGATATCCTTCACACTGCTCTCCCAAATGAGCTTTCTAGCTTTTGATCTCCTCGGCCATCTTCATTTTAGCTAAAGGAAAGAGCTTCCTTAGGCGACCCATAGATCCACATTTTGATGATAGAGTCGATTTGACTCCATTCTATTTTGTGAAAGCGGTTGGAGCTTTGTCATTATGTTCAACAAGTTAATTAGAAACACATAAATCGATCATTATAGCAGGTTTCGAATAATTCACGTCATGAATCATAGTTCATGTGTTCCGGATTTAGAATAAGTGGAATATAAGTTTTAATGAAATTCCATAATGCATCTCTGTAGACATGGTGTGGAGAGAAAGGAAAAAAATTGAGAAGAATGTTGGCAGAGGATACCGACGGTTATGATGTTGTCGCCATCTAGGGTTAGGCTGTAAGGGATAAGAAAGAAAGAAGCAAAGAGAGAATGATAGATAATTTATAAAAAGATAACCAGTATTGCTATAATACTATATAATCAATATATTTTCCCATGAAAATCTTATAATATTTATTATATACAAGTTATACAAAGAAACTGTGTGGGTCGGATCATCAAAATGATCCGGGATACATGTACATAAATAATACACATTAAAACTTGGATTAATAAAAGATGGTTTATGCACACACGTATAAACCAACTTTATTTCAAGGGTTATGCATCTAGTGTGGGTTCGACCCTAACGCATTAATGATCAATATCATGAAAAACAATTTACTTCTACCAGTAGTACAAAGGTTGTTGATTTTCTAATTCAGTGTAAATTGGATAATATTGCTTCAATTCATCTTAACTTAACGGCAAACCAAATTTTAAGATATTTTCTTATCTTCTGTGATGGTGACCCATCGATGGTTGCGTACCACCTAGCTAGTTAGTGAATAGCTTATAGTTGAGTTGGTGGGGTCATAGTTATACTATACGTTGGATCATAAACAGCTTTCCTTTCATGATTGCCATCGACATCCAGTCATCTATCTAAACTTACGAAAAACTTACTCCCTTTATAATTATATACTGAATTTTAGGTTATTCTTGTCGAAACCATATGTAGAATCGTGATGATATACCTATTTCGAAAGACCATGGTTTTTCATGAGACTGATAATGTGTACAGTACAAATGAGGTTTATTACCGATTTGGACAACTCACCATCCAAAGCTCGTTTGAGAGGACATTTCATTCATATATGTTTTTTTATAACTTTAGCTTTATGTAACATAATTCATAAAAAAACAAATGGATTGAATCCAAAAAATAAAAATAAAGTTGAAATGTTGAGGAGTGACACAAGACAACACATGGGAGTAGTCAGAAAGGCAGGAGAAAATAAGAAGTTGAATAGTCTGTCTATAAAAGAGCATTATTGTGGCATGTGATGTGAACACTTGTTTACCTATTTATTGCTGGTTTTAAACCGATGTAACTTCCCTTTTTATTCCGAAATTATGTATATAGAAAGCCAAGAATATATATACAAATCTTTCTTTCACTATAAATATAATAAAAAAGTGCTTTCTAATCCTTTTATCACTTGGACAATATAATACTTAATACTTCAGTAGTACTGCAATTTGCTATGGCAAGTTTACTAAGTTGACTAAAAATGAAATAAGATATGATATTCATAAGTCTACTCTAGTCTAGTCTGGTTATAAAAGATTAGTTCAAATCATTAAGTCAGCTGATCTCGCCAATTTTGACTATTTGTCGACCGCTGTTGCAAAGAGTTCACATTTGAGCCATAAATTCGAAAACGAAATAATATCATTATTTTTAATTAGTAAGACATTATGTTTTATAAATAACCCAGTAATGTAATTGTATTTCTTTTTTTCTTTTTTTTTTTTTGTATTAAATTAGGTATATTTCTGAAAATATAATATTTTAATAAAAAAAATGAAAATAACACAATATCGTGTATGTTTTGTAATCTCAAGGAGATGTTTCTATATCGACGAGACGGCGACCCTGGTTTAAGATTTTAACTCGTCCAATCATATTAACAAGCAACGAAGATTTTAATTTATTTCTCATCGTTATTTCATTTTTAGCATCCATCATTTACTGAATGTTTGATTTTTAACAAATCCATAACTCGTCAAATCATGAACAATGTCTAGTGCATTTTTGTTTGTAACATTTTCGAAATTTATTTGTTTGTGTTGATTAAGGTTCATAAATAAGATGATACATAGATTGATATTAGGTTAAGAGTCCAACTCCATTTTTGTCAGTAAGAAAATATTCCACAGTAAAAACCCAAAAAAAATTAAAAAACTAGGAGGCATGTCCCTTTCCTACTGCTACCATTCCCATGGTTTCTGACCACAATAATACATTATCCCAACAACCTTCTGTTTTTGTTTTTGTTTTTGTGTCACCACATATAACAAACAAATTTTACTGTCATCATATGCCATCACCCATAAGGTACAACCCCATAACATATTGTCATCATACATCTGGACAGGCTTCCAAAGGATTTTTTTTTTTTGAAGACGAGGGTATTTTCGTCTATAGCATAGACAAAAGATCAAGAGAATTGACTTTTTTCTTACCTGTCGTTGTCGCTGTAACTGTCACTCTGTAATTTCAAATGCGATTCAAATATTTGATATTATGTAACAAAAACGAAACCTTGTAGATGAAGGGACTAAACATTTAAGTAACTAAACATTTAGCTATAAACTCTTAACTTAGCAACACAAGCCAAAACGCCTGAACTCAGTTTTATAAGTAAGCCTATTATATTCATTAAAAAAAAAAAAAAAAACAGAAACTTTAGTACCTGATCCCTTTGTTTCAACTCAGTCCTTCAACTTGTGCAGGTAATGCAAAAGTTGTTTGGGTAGGTTTTTCTAACCCACTTTTGATCCAAGCAATGGTGTTAAGATCTGTAGCAATTGTAGCCAATTCCTGGTTTGACAAAGGAGGAAGTTCTTCATATTCAACGAATTCCGGACCCAACAGTAACCCCTCCTGAGAATCACCACCGGAACAGCAACCATGCCCACACCTCGACGGAATCACTGATTCCGCCGTATACCCTTTAAGAAATTTACACCCGATGCTTTCTGGTTTGGACGCCTGGATTAAACTTAAAGGTCCTTGTATGGGTATAACCATCGTTCTCGATTCCTCATTTGGGATTGGGATTCCATTTTGAGGGGTATAAATGGAAAATGCTCCGAAATGTGGGATTGGACGAGAAAGGGTGGTCTCGGGGAATTGTTGATTCTGATGTTCGTATTTCAACTGAATCTGATTGATGTTTTCGTTTGATAAAGTGTCTTCAGAGGATGCTTTTGTTGTGTCCAGGTGGTTGTAGTTGATGTCCATTTTAGTATTACTATTATTATTATATGAATTAGGGTGGATGTACCTACGTCGGAGTGTTGAATTCCAGTGATTTTTTATCGCATTATCTGTTCTACCTCGCAAGAGTTTTGCGATTGATGCCCATTTGTTTCCATGGATTGCATGGGCATCCATTATAATCCGATCTTCTGCCTCTGCATAAACAAAAGTATTGTAGCAATCAGGTAATGTTTGGTATGACAGAAACGGTGAAGGAATGGAATGGTTCATTCCCGTAAAATGAAAAAAAAATGTTGTTTTGTATGATGGAATGGAACATTCTTGAAGAAATGTTATTCTTTCTACTTTCTTAATTTTCATTCCTTAGCAAGAGGGTGTGAAAAATCACAACATAACCCTTTTGCATTAATGAAACTTCAGTGACACGTGTCCAACATTTTTTTATTTCATGATTTTAGTAATTTTATTTTCTGAAAATAAGTAGATAATGTAAAGAGTAGAGTTTTAGCTATGCTTTGTATTTACACATAATATACAAACTCATATGAAAACTCATTCCCTTCCTACAGGATTGACCAGACATGATCATGGAATGTAATGACTTATTCCATTACCTTGCTTATTTCATTATCTGTTAATTCCATTCCTTTGTCATTCCACTCAACAGGTGTGTGTGTGTGTGTGTGTGTGTGTTTCTACTTCCATACAATAAATGTTGAAGACCTTGTAATGCTTTTAACCAACACGACATAATACTATGAAGATTGGCATCCACCCATTATACCAAAAGTAAATTATGGGAATTCCTTTTAAAACCAGTGTGAGTGCGATATATTTTCCTTTGTAGCAATAATATATTCAATTTAAAGACTTGGTTAATTTCTCAGATTAGCAAATTGGGCAAACGCATTATTTTATCTGTTCCATGGTTACTCAACAAAGTATTTATCCCAAAAGGTTACTGGTAGTTCTATCATTCAGTTATTTCAATCCACACAAACTGTTTACTAAGATCCTAGATATAACAAGCAACTTATCACCCTCAACAAAAAAACAAACACTGACACGAGTTATCTGTTATTGGGTGATGACGTTTTCTACACACAAGGGGTTTAAAATACAAAACTATCTAAAACCATGGAACAAAATTTGTGTTGGTATATATGATGATAGTGCCTTAAATAGGGTATATATGATGATCACTTTGGTTTAATCACAAGACAATGAGCCAAACTTAATGTTGAAAAGACACTTCCATCTTCAGTAACTACCTTTGATTCACCATTATGAATGATCAATGATGGAGATTTTCTATAACATTGAGGTCTCATCTTTTTAATATAATATGATTTCTATTATATGTCAGCCTTAAACACACTGCACCTATGAAACTTGTCAATCTCAGCAAGCAAGTACAGATAATCAATATACATATAGTCATATACAAATGATACACAATCAGAGTGGATTATGTAGTGTGATAGATTGTCATGTGAGCAACAATTGGGACAAAAGCCAATATCGGAAATTGAAAACCGTCATACTGTGTAATCCCCAAACAGCACTAAATTACAGGATTCTCTCATTGTGACATTAAAGGACTAGAGAAACTTAGAAGAATTCCAACCTCAATCAAACAACTTGTAAAGTCATGAACAAATGGCGTGACCTAAGTTATGGATATCATACACAGCACAAAAGAACGAGGACACTGGATAATCACTTCGGCGTGAAACGGAGAACCAAAAACCCTACTAAGGAACGGGATTTGTCATCGATGGTTAAAACATTTGAACAATTGACTAGCATAGATAACCAGTGAATCCTAAAACAAATGCATAAAAATATTAAGACAGAGACTAGATAATGACGCCGTCGAATGCTCTTTTCTTACCAGTAAAGGGCTTGCGCTCAACAGCAGGGTCCAACTGATTACACCACCGTAGACGGCACGACTTCCCAGAACGGCCAGGGATACCTCGTGCGATCAGGCTCCAGTTCCTCGCCCCAAACTTGCTCACAAGTTCACTTAAAATCACGTCTTCCTCCGGCGACCAAGGTCCCCGAACTTTGCTCCTCTTATCAGCACGACCACCGCCTCCGCTGCCTTCTTCAACCATCACCACGTCGCCAACTTCTCCCACTTCAGGAGCGTTGGAGGCGGCGGGAGCGGGAGCGATCGTATGTTCTTCGCTGTGCCCTGCATCGTCTTCCATCTCTTCACTTCCCCTCCGTCTCTTTCTCTCTCTATGCTCTTCCGTTTGGACTTCCTCTCTCTCTAACCGTACCAACCCGACTAACTGCAAAGTTGTTTTCCCTGAGATAAAATAATAAATGTTACTACTTCGACCCCTAAAATATGCGCTAACTACACTAATGGCCCCATCTTTAAAAATAACTTTTTGTAAAATATAGTTAAGAAAAATGTTTGGTTTTCTAATATTTTTATCGAGTAATGGTTACAATAACTAAACATATGTTTGCTAAGTTAATACAAATTAAAAATAGTTAAATTATATGTAATCGTATGCGAGTGGGTTTAAATGAGCAACAATCTAAACAGAAGCTGATTTGATATATAAGTAAATAAAATTATTTAGTTATTAGTAATATATCATGTATATTTTTAAATAAGAATATAGGAATCTTTTGATCTAAATTTAATGTTATTTTTGTTATATAGTTACAAATACCATACCCACTAATCATATATATATATATATATATATATATATATATATATATATAATATATATATATATATATATATATATATTCTATTAAAAACAAAAAATCCTAAAAATGCATAAAAAAATACTTAAAGATCACAAAACGTTTTTTTGAATTTTTTTTTAAAAAATCGCACCTTTTAACACAAAATCGCTGAAACTTTTTTTGAAAAAAAAAACTTTTTTTTTATAAAATTTTTTTTTGATTTTTGATTTTTTTTTCAGCGAAATTTTAAAAAAAGCTGCGATTTTTTTATGTGTAAAGTCAAAAAAAAAGTTTTGTGATATCTAGGTATTTTTTTATGATTTTTATGATTTTTAGGGGTTTTTTAGGTTTTTTTTTGTTTTCCATATAAACCTTCCTATATATATATATATATATATATATATATATATATATATATATATATATAAAGTTCAATAGAGAACCATAATTATTGGTTCTCCAATGAACCAAATTTTTTTTTTAAGTTCTAGAGCTTATTCTTTATCGAAAAAAAAACTAAAAATATCTAAATTCATAACTTAACATTGTGAATGTTAAATATATTTTTCGGATTCACCGTGTGAATTTAGATTCACATTGTGAATTTGACGAAATTTTTTTTTTATCGAATTTGATATCATTGGAAAAAGGATAAAAAGTTATGAATTTCTGTATTTTTAGTTTTTTTTATATAAAAAATAAGTTCTAAAAATTGAAAAAAAAAAGATTGGTTCATTGGTTCCTTGGTTCCTTGGTATGTGTGTGTGTGTATATATATATATATATATATATATATATATATATATATATATATATATATCAAGGTTGTAGAAATCGCTCGACGTTGGTTAATCGGTGGACTGGGGTCAAGGGATTAATCGGCTAGGCGGGGACTAATCGGGGACCATTAATTATTAAAAATTAATAAATATAACATTAATAAATATATCATTGTAAATGATAAATCGTTTTGATTCCTTTTTTGCTTTGACTTTGAAGACTCTTGTGATGTTGACGGTGACCTCACTTTCACAGCCCTTCTACACATGATTGCTCTCTCGTTAACAAGTAATTAAGCCAACAATCTTGATGAATGAATGAATCAACAATGTAAGAAATGTAATTTGTAGAAAATATATTAATATATAAGAAAGGGGGTTTGATTACCTGATGCCTCTAATGACAGCTAAATAAGCATCACCGATAACACCAACTAGTTTTATCCTGTATGGTCTTCTTCTCTTTCCATCTACCAGTTTTTTCTCTTGTTCAAGCGGTTCCCAGTAGTTTTCTGTAACACTTCCATTAACATTCACCTTGTATCCAACCCCCATTCGGTACCTTTTATCTTAGTCTGCAACTAAAAAAGCAAATCCAAGCATTGTATGACCAAAATCACTAAAATTTATGCTCGTGTGAATGTTGTTGGACCATCACAACATTGTATGACCAAAATCACTGAAATTTCTCTTAAGCATTTACAAAAACACTTGGCATGCTTGTTATCAAACAACCATATCAACCATATCACCGAAATTTCTCTTAAGCATTGTATGACCAATTTGAGTCGAGATAGAATCGATTTTACCAAAAAAACACACCCTAGCAACTAATCAGAGTATAGATTGAAGAACAAACCTTCGTAGACCAAAAACGAATTCAAACCAGTTTTGTGTCGACAGGATTTCTGCCACCTACTCCAACCGCCACCTGCAACCTTGTCAATTTGAGTCGTCGAGGTTCGTTTACATGACACTGGAGGTAGCAAGGTTTGTTTACATATCGTTGGAGGTAGCGTCTCCTCGGCCAACTTTACAACTCGTTAAAATCAACTGAATCAGAATCCTTTAACGATCGATCAAAGAAAGAAAAGGGAAATTGAAGATGATGGTAGCGTCTCCTCCGCCAGTATCCTTTAACTCATTTGTACACTCGATTCGTGATACCTTCCATCTTCGAGAAGAAGGGTGGGTCGGTGATGGAACTCAAATTCTCCTTCCAAAGCACGAGATCCAAACTAGGGAAGAACGAGATGCAAAGTGGAGATATGAAACAATTATAAGTTTATCCCACATCGCTGGTGGGAGCATTCTTTAGAGGCAAACTTATTCTATAAAAGGAGCTTTTATCTCTTAGAAAACCAAACCAAGTTGTGTTAGTGAGTTGGCTCCTTTGAGCTGGCGGGTTTCTTAAATTTATTTGGCCGGATTAGGAGTCCGATTTGGACCAAATTGGACCGGTTTTGAACGATATTGACCAGGGCTGATTAATGAACCCTCTAGCACCTATTCGTAGGCGGTTGGAGACCGTCAATATATATATATATATATATATATATATATATATATATATATATATATATATATATATATATATAGGGCTAGGTTATTTTGTTTTTCTTACATTTATTGTGTGCTAGAATGCACCAATTGGAATTTAGTAAATTAAATAATTATTTAATTAAATAAATATAGATATTAAATGATTTCCATAATTATATGTATATTAAATGATATCCATAATTATAATTCTCTTTTTATGGAAACTAATTAAATCCGTCATTAATGTTAGCAATAACATTCTTTCAGAATGAATTCAGATCTAGGTTTTTATAAATGAATTCGTATTTTGTTTCAGGACTCACTCACTTAAAATATAATAAAGTTGCATGAAATATGAAGAACGATGGTGTATTCTACTAGATATGAATTCATTCTGAAAGAATATTATTGTTGACATTAATGACGAATTTAATTAGTTTTCATAAAAATGAGTTATAAGTATGGATAACATTTAATATACATATAATTAATACTAAATTCCTATTGGTGCATTCTAGCACACAATAGATGTGAGAAACATTTGAACCTATATATATATATATATATATATATATATATATATATATATATAGGTTCAAATGTTTCTCACATCTATTATGTGCTAGAATGCACCAATAGGAATTTAGTATTAATTATATTTGTTCATTACGAGACTTGAACCCTTTATTACTTGGGATGAGACATATTTCCAACCTACATTGATAGTGTGATATGGTTTTTGGCATTTATTATTTAATATTATTTGTACTTTATAATGATTTTTATTTAAACAAATCAACGAAGCCTTTTGCGAAAATTGATACTTTAATTTTAGGACAACACTGTATATCTAAGTTTGATATTATGATCCAGAATTATTCTAAGACATGTCCTTTTTTTTAGTAACATAAAAATATTAGTTGTTTGGACAATCTTAAGAAGTGGTTATGAAATGAGTTTGGATTCTATTGAAGAGTTTCAAAAGAGTGGGACTCATATGCACTTGCTCAGATTTGAAGAGCCTAAGTTGTAACTTATGTTATTTGTAGGTAAACGCATCCCATTGCTATCATTATAGTGCTTTAGTTTGTAAGAAAGTTTTATTGAATTGACATGTGTGTCCCCATTTCAAATATTATGCTATTCTTCGTAATTTTATATTGTTTTGTATAATGTATATTAACCTTTTTATTTTCAATAATATTGCATTTTTTTTAATTAAAATCCATAATAAAAAATTAGTAAAATTGGATGGTAAACTTCTTAATTTCTTAACTTTTGTTTTGATATTCAAAAAGTAATGGATATCAAACTCAGAAAAAAATAATAAAAAAAATAAAAATAAAGTTATTTAAGCATATAAATGACTCATATGAATAGAAGGTACTCAAGGATGTTGATCCAATCTAATGACAAACATGAGAAATTTTATCAAATGACCAAAGGGAATAGGGTGTTTGAACATTTTAACCATAAAAAATGGAGTTTTGTAGAATGACCATGACTTCCGCAGAGGAGGCTCTACGGAAGCGTTCAACCTTCTGAGGCTCTACGGAAGCGTTCAACCTTCTGAGGAATGTGAATAACATTGAGGAATTGAGGTGGCATGGGATAAAGACAAAAAAAAGTATCTTTCATACTTCCGCAGAAGTGGCTCTGCGGAAATGGTGTTGTCTCTGCGGATCATAAATCTCTCTGAGGAAATGGTTGCTGAAGAAATTAAATCGATTCTGACAGTTCCACAGAGAACTCGATGCTTCTACAGAAAGATCCTCTGCGGATCTGTTCTTCAGTTACACAACTCTAAGGTACTGTTCTTCAGAGCACCCATGGAAAAAATGTGGAATTGCTTGTTGTTTCTTATCAATTGAACTAAGATACACTCTAAAGACCATATAATGGATTCAATAACACATTTAGAAATCAAATAACAAATAATATGACCAATTCGGACTTCCGCAGCAACCCAATTAGAATCAGTTTTTTTTTTTGTGAATTTACAAAAATACCCCCTAAAACCTCAATTCCTCAGTGAGGGTCGGATTCCTCGGAAGGTTTAAGGCTTCCGCAGAGCCCCCTCTGCGGAAGTCATGATCATTCTACAAAACTCTATTTTTCATTGTTAAAATGTTCAAACGCCCCCTTCCCTTTGGTCATTTGATGAAATTTCTCATGTTTTAAAGTCAATAATGAGACAAACATAACCAGAGAGGAGAGGTTGTTATTTGATTTATAAGTTAAACGCATGAAATATAGTACATATTACACAAACGGTAAAAAATTATATCTAATTATGGATCTTTTCCATTTTAATGTATTTATTTCATCCAAATAATATAACATTGTGAATGTCAAGTGATGGATTAAAATACACTAATTATTAGTGGTTAACAAGCTCTAACACAATGTGTTCTTGTTAAAATCTTTAACCATGACAAACTCTATATCTCTGATCGACATCTCCTTCTTATGTTCTTGATCATATGCACACACACAAAGTGTGTTTCCTTTTTTTTTTCCGTTATTTTACCGATCATGGACATAAGAACACCACATAAGTTGAAAATAACAAGTAAATAATATTCTTGAATTTGTTTATCAATTAAATAATATTCTTATATTTTATTTACTAAAACTAATCAAAAAATAAACAAGGGATGCTTTGCCTCTTGTGACCATCATCATCATCATCATCATCATCATCATCATCATCATCCTTTTAATATCTCTCAATTTGTGAAAAGAAAAACAGATGATTTTTTGTAGAAAGAAACTACGGAAAAGCGTACTCGTTAAAAAAAATATGCCGTGAAGTATTTGTGAGCTTGAATATACTCGTAAATTCACATATAAAAGTAGCATGGTTTTTTATCATAAAATATAAACTCACATATTCCATGGTCTTATTTCGCTATTTACATAATTATTTTATGATAGACGATAAATATATAATCATCTTGATATATCTAACCTCTAAATATGATATTTTAGTTAATAACTCTAATATTTTCGTTTTGTCTTTTTATGCTAATAAGATATGTCTATCTTAATTATAAAAAAAGATTGATTATACTAATTTAGTTTCATAAGTTTCTATTTGTTTTAAACTCATTTTGAAAAATACTATAAAAATCTTACAAATAAATAAATATAAAAAGTATAATTTCATTTTTGAATAGACCATCACTTGAATTTTATTGAACATGTTGAAAACCGGTCTTAAGAAACCTCTTAAATCTTGTATAAACAACAAATTACAACATAATGGATGAAAACTATTTTGTTTACTATATGAAAATCAGTTTTTTATAGCTTTGAAAACGACTATTTTGTTTACTATATGAAAATCAGTTTTTTATAGGTTTGAAAACTTTTACCCAAACCGGTTCCACTAGCAAAATACTCGTACAAACTGGCAGTTTAGTTTTAATCAAACCGGCTTAAAAATCGGATCGGTTCGGTTTTCAAACTAGTTTCGGATCTTAAACTGGTTTTTCCATGCACCTCTAATTGTTATAGAACCTATTAACGGATAAAAGTATAGAACTGTTAACTTGTTTTTTAAAAAGGCTTCAACCGGTCTTTTTAGGGTGTTTGGCTAATTAGCTTAGCTTTTGAGATGGCAAAATTCCTTTTAGGAAAAGTTGCAAAAAGTCAGGTTCACCTAACTTTTCCAAAAAGTTCATTTTTCTTACATCCAAAAATAGCTTTTACAATATCTGTTGCTTTTACCAAACATCTTTTAGCTTTTTATCTTTTTCTAAAAGCTAAAAGATGTTTTAAAAGATAAAACAAACACCCTCTTAACCGTGTAATTAACAAAATTTTTAACTAGTCCCTTTCCAAAATGGCATGACCGATCGGGCCTTTTATTATTTCCGTATCTATTACTACAGATTTTATTAATTGGATATTGTCCAGGCCCAGGACCAGGCTCAAAGCTGTAAACAGTTACGATGCATTCATATTTGATGTTTTGGACTTTGGAGAATTGGAGTTTTGCAATTTGCAAT